CATCCCTCCCCCCCCCCCCCCCCATCTCTCCCTCTCCCTCCCTCTCTGAGGCGCATCAGAAAACAGGTTTTTAGTATCAACTTCTGCAACTTTATTTTTTTTTTATGTCTCATCAACAGCAGCCAGATTTAAAGCTGTAAAAGCTTCCAGGTTAAGAAATAAATACACCCCCCACCCCCCCACCCCCCTCCTCCTCCTTTTGTATGTCTGCCCCGGATTAAATGGCACCTGGTTTTAAATGGCACCTTCCCTTCGTTTCCCCTCGTTCCTTTCATCATCAGCAAAATAAAGATTAGGCCCACAGAGGAGATGGGGAGGTCTTTCTCTCAGAGGGATCTTCATTCCTCCGCCTTTGTGATGATATTGATGATGATGATGGCCAAGTGGACAGTTTGATTTTTGTGCGGTGAGCTAGTTATAAAGAATCAATATTATATCAAGGGGGTAACTTTGGTGATAAAGGACTTCAGCCACTGTGGCTATTCATCATAAGTCTGTAGCAGCAGATAGGTCAAAAGAAATTATATTGCTCTAAAGAGTGTGTCTCCTTATCTCCCGGTACCAGGGGGAGTGGAGGACACGCCGATCGATACACTACTTGCTGTGGACTCCTTGCAATTATCAATAGCTGATTTTTGTCTTCCTGGGGGCTGCATCTATTAATACCAGATAATAACAAGTCCCCCCCACCACCACCCTTCCCCACACCCCCCTTTTTCTGGACACGACTTCAGAGGATGATGAAGGGAGATGAGAAGAGGAAAAGTTTGCTCCCGTGAGGCCGACCTTGTTGTCAACAGATTTCTGTCTGTCACACGAGGCGCGAGGCACGGGGGGAGTCAAACAGACTGGAGGGGGAGGGGGCAGCTCATGTCAGCTAAAAACAAACAACAACAAAAAAAGATGTCATAGAAAAGGAGGGATTTTGAAGTTTTGCGCGCAAATTGACATAAAAATACAATTATGTGCAGTATTTTTTTTACAACAATTGTAAATGTTTTCCATGAACAACAACATTATTTTACAGAAATGATGCGCGTGCGTTTGATCCTCTGCGCGCACATTATGAAAAAAAAAAAAAAAGGTCAAAGAGCATAAAGGTGCATGTGAAACCTGACGCAACTTTCCCCAGCTCTTTTAAATTCCACATTTTTACGAATAAAAATTAAAATCATGTCCATCCGTTTGGACACGAGGAGGCCAAACTTTGACTCTCCATCATTCCATTTATGACATTTTACATTTTTATTCATGATTTATAGAAGACACTGCACTGATGAAAGGCGCGCGCTGAGCGGAGCTGTGATGGGAGGTCAGGGTGACGCGCGGAGGCTGAGCACGAGCCTCTCTACAGTAACGTGGTGCTACATCCTAGTGGTGGCTGAAAGCAATGGGCTGAACCTTTTTCTTGGGGGTTGACACACACACACACACACACACACAGCGCAGCCCCCACTCCACACACTCACACACACACTCACACACACGTAGAGCCATGTCCAACAACCAGAGAGCCCGACGCTGCGCGCGCTGCTGCCAGAAGATGAATCCAAAGTTCGATGCCGAGAAAGAAAGAGCCTGAGTGAAGTTCTTGTTTGGATCGAACCTGCTTTTTGCGTTTGTTTGTTTTTTAAAGAAGAAAGTCACTTTTATTTATTTATTTGGAGAGCGCGCGCACCGACCGAGGAGGAGAGGAGGGTGCAGCCGGGGAGGGGGGGTTGCTGAAACACGCAGGAGGAGCGAAGCAGAGAAAGAAGCCTGGAAGCACTTCTTCTGTTTCATTTGTGCTAATCGGAATCATGATGAGTGTCAGGTCCCGCTGACTGACCGCGGCTCACGGGACAAGAAGTTTTGGCAAAGCGGAGTTTGCGCCAGGAAACCTCCCCCCGCAAAGCAAACATCCACTTTACCCGCAGAGATAACACACACACACACACACACTTTGAAGTCCTGAAACACGTTCAAGTCGCTTGTCTTCCAGCAGGAGTAAAGTTCAGCCTCCGACAGGGGAACGAGGAAAAGTTAAGGACAGCGCGAGGAGACGGACACTTTCAGAAGTTGTGCGCAAAATGAAGTGATGCACATCAGAAGAGTGCGCGCTTTGTGAGAGTGGAGGGGAGAGGAGCCCGGCGTCCCCAGTTGGAGACCTCACAGTGAACTGGGCAGAACTGGTGTGTTGTGTTGTTGGGGGAGGAAAAGAAAGACAAAAAAAAAAAAAAAAAAAGGGCGACGGACAAAGTCTGAGAGTGAAGCAGCTAATTGCTTAGCCCGTCCCTCATTACCATATCCAATGCGCGTCCGCTGGACTCCAGCCAATCCTCCCCACCTTCACACGGTGCCATTAATCGCGTGGCATTATTCACTATCATAATTATTATCCCGACATGCGCAATCCGACGCACAGCAGCGGCGGCGGCGGCGGCAGAAGCAGCAACAGCCGCTGATCCCCCCCCACCCCCACCCCACCCCCCAACTCTGCTGCCGTCCCGGACACTTTTCTGCGAACTTTTTGTGCGCGTGGATCCCGTGGCTGATGCAGCTGCAAAACGCAGACGCATCTCGCAGCGCGAACTCAGCAGCAGCAGCACCTTCAGCCCTGACGCCCCCAGCAGCAGCAGCAGCAGCAGCAGCAGCATGTCGCGACGCAAACAAGCCAAGCCGCAGCAGCTCAAGTCGGACGAGGATCCAGCTGTGGTGGACTCCGAGCACGGTGAGTGGACCCGAGCAGCTGCAGCTCCCGTGCGTCCGTGCATTTCATCCTCGGAATAAACGAGTTCTTGGTTCAGCAGCAGCGGAGGAGCTGGACATGTTTTCAGCTCCGACGCTTTGATTGAGGTAAAAGTTTCACAGAGAGGACAGAAGTAGAACATTGTCACGATTCAAGTTTTATTTTAATCCCCTTCCATGTGTTGTCCTGCCTGACAGATGACTTCCAGGATTAAGAGCCTCACACTCTGTACACTGTGCTGCCACAGGCCTTTTTATTCAGGATTATTTTACAGAGGCCTTTTTTATTCAGGATTATTTTACAGAGGCCTTTTTTATTCAGGATTATTTTACAGAGGCCTTTTTTTATTCAGGATTATTTTACAGAGGCCTGTTCAAACTGCAACTGATTTCAAGCTGTTTTATGTCCCAACATCAGAGCTGGACTCTTACACTTGATTTGGTTTCCTCAGACACACAACTCTGCAAACATCCACCAACAGATGGCTTTAAATGAGCCCTGCAATTATTCATTTGAAATAGAAAACATTCAGAGTGATATAAATGTGTTAGTTTCCATCAAAAGCAGTTGTGCTTATTATTATTTGTTGAAGAGCACGCCTGCCTTTTGTCCTGTGGGCGCTTGCCTGGAACTCGGAGGGACAAAATGCGGAGTCTGTTGCAGGTCGAAGCCTTGTTTTGTCATGGAAATGTTTTTTGTTTACCCTCCTCACATAAATTTAGCACACTTGATTTGTTCCCTTTCGCTCAAGATCGCTCGACAGAGCCTGTCCTCGCCATATGGAGGGCAGGATTATTTATCCTGCAGGCCAACAGAAACAGCCTCACCGAGTTGGAAAGAACTGGATGGGAACAATTAAGATTAAAAAAATAAAATAAAAGTTAAATAATGAAAAGATTGATTTTCAGCGACGTTTCGTGTGTTTGGCTTGTTTTGTTTTGCTCCTCGACATTTTAGAAATACGATTAGAATTTATTGTGTTCATTTTTAAAGAATGGTTTTCAGCAAATCACTGCTACTATGTCACTACTCACAAATACGCACGTGCACACACACTTCTCCAGGCTTCTTTAGAAAAAAAAAGTGTGATGTAATCTTTGGGGAGAGAGGCTGTCTTTGCATGAAATGTTGGTGTGTGTGTGTGTGTGTGTGTGTGTGTGTGTGTGTGTGGTGGTGGGGGGGTCACATTAATGACTCCTGGCTCTTTTGTCCCATTTACTCTTCGGGGTGTTTGTAATTTATGGGCTGTTCACATGCACAAAACACAAACACTGTTTGAGTGTTGACATCACCCCCATTTTCCTTTTTAAATTCTGGTCAGAGATGCACGACATCCATCAGGTTTCTCTCCTGTTGGATTGAGGAATTCATTCATTTTACGTTTATTTTTAACTGAACTATTCATTTGAGTCAGAATTAGAATAAAAAAAATTCAGACTCAAACATTCAAGAAGTGGAAACATGAGGGGAACGAGCCAATTCAGATGAATTTAGAAATACAACTCTGGAATTTGCTCTTGTTTTTGACACGCACCTTAAAACTAAACACACACACACACACACACACATACTGTAGACTGACAATGGCATTGTGTTGATGACTGGAAGTTGCCGTGGAATGTTCCTGCTGGACAGTGGCTCAGTGTTCAGGAGCAGATGCAGCACAGCAACAATCCTGAGCATGTGGCCCGGCACACAGAGCCCATACACACTTAAATAAACCTAATAACACCGTGTCGCATCCAAAGCTGCTTTACACGACAAGCTCCTAATGTCATACTGTCCGTGCGTGGTCGCAGCGTGATCGGATTCTCCGCCCGTTGCTCCTGCGGTGCAGCCTGTGACGAACGCCATCGATCGCCGGCTTTGACGATTTGTCGCGTTTTTAAACGGAATAAATTCAGTAGTTCCCGCCGCCAGCAGCCGCCCGATATAGACTTTAAATCCACTGGTGCTGCAGAAGTACGGCACCGGGCCTGCGCTCAGATGGACTTATGGAGCGTGTCCATTCGAGCACATTTCATAAAATATCACAACGTAGAACGCTTTCAGGTTTTCATCGATCCTTCTCGTGTTTCGCTGCAGCTCCGAGAGGTCACTTTAACACCCCGCAGCCCCGAAAATCAAGTGCCAACAAGCTCTCATCTCCCCCTCCTCAGGCCTTCAGGACACTTGCTCGCCCCCAGCGTAGGGGGGACATGAAGGGGTAGTGTATGTGTGTTAGCATGGTGTGAAAAGAAGAAGGAAGGGTGGGGTTAGAGGGGGAGTCAGCTTAGGAGTGCTTTTACAAAGCCTGCTGACTTAACCTTTGTGTCGTCCCGGCCAGCCAGATCCTGCCTGGAGGTGTGGAGCTGCTTGGACAATTAGAACATGTGTGCCGCTGACCCTGGCAGCGCAGCTTACTCGTGTCCTCCAAAGTGCAAGCGGGCTGTTCACCGCACGGCCACTTCCTCAGCTGGTGTCACTGAAGGGGTGTGTGTAGGTGGTGGTGGGGGCATTTGTTGATAAAAACAAGTCAAAACACACTCCAGAGGATTTATCATTAGATGTATAAGGTCCCACGCAGGAGGGGATTTTTTTGACTGAATATTACCTTAAACGTCTCTGAGAGGACGTTTGAACTGCACTTCCTGTCCCGTCTGTGCAGCTGAATTGGAAAACTTGCATTTTAGCGTTGAAATATTTAGTTTTCCCGCCTCCACACAACTGTTGATGAGGAGAAGAAAAAAATGTAGCAAAGTGATAAAATCCCTGCTGACAGTGACAACATAGTTGCGGCCCCCTTCCCCTGCAGTGAGGGGGGGCTTTGTTTGCCTTTTGTTTTAATTCCTTCTCACCACTGGGCCTGCGGACCACCCACACAGCCGAGCGGAGGACGTCTTCGAGAAGCCACTCGAATGCGGCTGCGTCTTAATCACTGCTCAGCGCTGAAAACACACGGCAGCAAGTGCGTTTGTGACTGAGAGGAAGAGGAGGCAGCGCTTAACAACAGACAGCAGGGTTTAGCTCCAAGCTAACCTTCGCCTACTAAAGCTGTGCATTTGGTCGTTGGATGGATTTACTTTTGCTTAGGTGATTTTATAAAATAACATAAATTAACACAATGGATAGTCAGTTCAAAGCAGTGTAACATTTTTGAATGTTATATATTAAAAGAAGCACAGATTTATTAAATATGCTCTTTGCATGAAAGCATGGCCGCCCATCAGATCCTCCCTGGCTCCTCACATAAAGACATCTTGACGAGCGACAGAGTCATCTGGACTGAGTGCCGTCATCGAATACCGTGTTGCACAAACAAATCGTTAATGTTTTGGCTGCTGCACATCTGCAGGCGATGACAAAGGCCCGTGTGTCTGTGCAGATGTGACTGTACCACCGTGCAGCAGGGCTGACCGGCCCGATGGCACGCTCGCAGCGCTCAGGGCGCTCGAGCCTCTGCAGCACAGAGGATGCTCACGATTAATCCAGGAAACGCTTACCAGGACAGTTCTTTTAAAGGTTTCTTGGTTTAAATCAAAAATGGACAGCCTACTTGTCAAATCGGATGTTTTTTTGTGTTTCACCTAAAATAGTTCAAATCATTTAAATAGTGCGTGAAAGTCGTTTAAAATAAAACAGAAATTAAAATTGCGGGTTTGGACCCAGCAGGCCTTTGTTTTTCTCAGCCTGAGCAGGAAGAGTGATGCTGTTAGACCTCCATGGATCCTTTAAAGCAGAAATACTGTACGTGCACACTGTTCTCATGATAAACTCTGCGTAGGCTGCCAAATTTGATTTTACTATTTTTTAAAGTACAATGCAAAGAAATAGGATAAGATTTTTATGTGTTTTTATAAAAAAAAACACTATTCTTAGGAATGGGGACATTTGTACCTATTTTTTCTTTGTTCTCGAACACATTCAGTGAACATCAGCTGATTTAACATTCTATATTTGGGATTTCAACGTAGCTTTCCGAGTAAAACATTAAAAACAGATTCAGAGCCTTCAATGACTGCATCCAGCTAAATATTTACATCTGGGTAAATGAAGACTTTTAAAGGAATTAAAAACTGATTGGATTTTGTTTTCCGTTCTCTTCCTATAGGGCTGAGGAAATCAATAACACCCTGTGACACACACACGCACACACACACGCACAAAAACATGCACACCTTTTCACTGTCTTGCAAATAACCGTAAAACGTGGCTGTGACAGCTGCACAACGCATTCTGCTGCACTCGGATGCTGAACGCAGCTGTTTTATTATTATTATTATTATGAGCACGGGCTTTTTTATTTTTTTAAATACCTTGCATGGAGGTTTAAAGATGATCAGGTGGTCGTGGTTCTGTTTTGTATTGCTGTAATTACCACTGACTAATTGTTGCAGCGCTCAAACTCACACAGTCAGCAGCATATTTCTGCATCTTAATGGTTCTTTTTTAATTTCCTCAAATGGCAACGCACACACGATTTCACCTGTCTGCAGCGTTTTCCAGCAATTAAGGCTGGGGATTTATAATTTAGAACAAAACGTTTCGTAATATTCTTATGATGACTTGAGCGACACGCGTAAAAGGGATAAACCCGCCGACAGGGAAGATAATAAAAATCAGCTTCAATTTACAAATGTGTTTTGAAGAAGAATTAAAACAAATGCTGCTTGAATGAATTCTTTTATTGCTTTCATTAATATTTGTTCATATAAATTGATTGTTTAAATTAAACCAGGAGGACAATAAGAGGAATTGTGTTAGTATTTTTAAGGTTTCACCAGTCTCTGGGAACATTGTTCGTCTATGAAAATGTGCGATTGTGTGTGTTTGTGTGTGTGAGGTCAGAGGCGTACAAAGGCCCCCACTTGTAATTGTACGAATGAATAAAAGAGATTGACAGTAATACCATTCTAATAACTAATCAGCTCAACACAATGCCTACTCATTTGTGTTGACCTTTCAACCCTCAATTATGGAAATGTGTTCTGCTGTCCGCCGCTGGGTTAAGGAGCTTTTTAGCTCCATGTCACGTGTCACTTACATTTCCAATCTCTGGCTCCATTTCACTTCTCGTTTTTTTTTTTTTTTCAGTTTATTTTATTTTTATTTTCAGGAGCAAAATTACATGCTCATATTGGAGTTGCATGAATATAAAGATATTATAATATCACCGATGGTTAATCGGTTTTTGATTTTATTTGGCAACGTGCAGGTTTTACACTCGCACAAAGTCTGTCCGAAATGATTCTGTTTATAATTAATTAAGTCAAAGACACAGCAGAGCATCGTGCACCTCCTCCCCCCCCCTTCCCTTTGGTCGCTGACTACAGGGGGGAGTGATGAATTTCTTTACTAATGAGTCACTGTAATTGGCACATCCCCCTATATGTCTGCTTTACGGCAGCTCACTCCACTTTTATTCTACTTTTACAACATAAATCCAAGATTTATTTAATGAATTTAACACTTTTTGGATGACAATTATAAAAATAATAATAATAAGATTAAAATAAACAGGGTAACATGTTCATAGTGTAAAATGAATAAATAATTCCTAAATTCATGAATATATTAAACGTTTGTTGCGTCGTTATTTGAACACAAAGCTTTAGACGAATGTAGATGACTGTGACTGAGTTTACTTCTTATAGCATTAAAATGAGTTGTACACACACAAACACAGATTTTATAATTATATTTTAAAAAGATAAAATAAATAAACCCACAGCGGAGGCCTTTATTCCATGATTTTGTTCAGGTGTGAATCAGGTCAGAGCTTGTGCCGGTTTGTTTGACTCTTGAGGGCTGCCTGTGGAAGAGGAAGTGGCTCGCTACAACTGTGATTAAACATGTGTAACTAATCAGAGACTTTGGTGCCATGGCACAAGTATGTAATTTGTAGTCTTGTGTCAAAAAGCTTGGGAGAAAGACACAGACAAAGCAACACAGTATATCTTTTATCCCTTAACAAGAGCAATTCTGAAGCAGTTTGAGTAAAAAAAGAAAAAGAAGAAAACTTCTCAAAGTCAGCTTTCTTTAGTCACGCAGATTACAGTCCTTTGATTTTTAGGGTTAAAACGTTAGCAGTTAGAAAAGCCTAAGCTTTTAAAATTCAGGTGGAAATGACTGAGCTTGATAGCAGAGGGGAATCCTAATGGGGCCATCAAAGTCCCTATTTGTACCCAACAGATGAGGCAGCTGTGAATTGTATGAAATATTGGAAATCAATACGTTCTATGGAATTTCATTAAGCAGCAGTATCCACAATTGATAGGCCCTCATAATTTGATGGATTGCACAAAGAAAATTATTAGCTGGCTCTATGGAGAGGGTGTGAATGCACAAATCTGGGTCTTGAGGATTGGGGAACTAGGGTAATTTGTTGAGAGTAAAAAATAAATAAAAAGTATATTGATTTTTGCTATGTTAAAAAACTCAAAGGTTAAACCTTTGCTGCATTTCACTGCGAAAAAATGTGTGAATTCTTTATTGATTAATTATTCATTTATTCTTTTATCCTCCTCCTTTCTTTCCTTGTCATCCCCTCCCACGACCCTCTTCCCTCCCTCCCTGCAGCCCGGGGTGAAGTGCTGGATGATGCTGACAGCGGGAATGAGAGCCGCAGCGGCAGCGAAGAGACTCATGTATGTGAAAAGTGTTGTGCCGAGTTCTTCAAGTGGTCAGATTTCTGTGAACATTTAAAGAGCTGTACTAAGAACCCCCTGGTGCTCATAGTGAATGACAATGAGGATACGCCTAACCCCTCACAGGAGTACCCCTCAGAGCCCTCACCTGTTCTTAGCTGCCCCAGTGAGCAAGATGACAGCGAGGATGCAAGGGAGGGCAACCAGAGTCCTGTCGGTGAGGTAGATGACATCCCAGAGACAGATAACTTAAATGAGGTCAGTGTCCTGGAAAAGGAGGATGAGCAGATGGAGCTGGAGCTTTCTCCTGACAAAAACATAGAAGCCGAAGACAGAGATGTGACATCCCCTGAGCCAGATGGCTCCCTACCTCAGCTCAACGATGTGGTCCCCACTGCTGTTACAAGCTACGCCATGCCAAGCACCAATGTTACCTTGGAGACTCTGCATGGCACTCGGGTTGCAGTTGCCCAGTTTTCACAGAGTGTAAGGGCAGCAGCAGGCAGTGGGGTTTCCACTATGGCTATTCCTATGATCCTGGATCAGCTTATGGCCCTTCAGCAACAGCAGATTCATCAACTCCAGCTAATAGAACAAATCCGAAGTCAGGTGGCCCTCATGAACAGACAGTCTCCCCCACAATCTGCTGTCAACCTCCATCACAACGCGGCTGCTGGAAGCCAGGGATCTGTATCCTCCTGTGTCCCTCCTGTTGCAAGTCAGCTTCATCTGCATAACTTCATCACACCCCCTGTCCATCAGCTGCCTGTCAGGTTGCCAGCCACTCTTAGTGGACAAGGCCCTTCACCTCTGACCTCAGCAATAGAAGGGTCTCTCACTCAAACACCGCAGAGTAGTACTCAGCAATCCACTTCTTCAGTTCCAAATACATCCACAAATAATTCAGTATTTCCCCCACCAAGTGGGGCTGGATTGTCATCTCTACACTCCTCCTGCTCTGCTACTGTCTCAACTAACAACAGTAACACTAGCAGTTGCATAACAGGAAGTGGTGGCATAAGTAGCAGCTCGGCTCTTCCTAGAAACTCCACTACCCCTCCCTCACTAAATCACAGCAGCATCTTGAGCTCTGCCTCCAGTCTACCACTGATACCTCACAGCTCCTCGAGCAGCGTCATCTTCCCCAATCCACTGGCCAGCATAGCAGCCACAGCCAATGCACTTGACCCCCTTTCAGCGCTAATGAAGCACCGCAAGGGAAAGCCCCCCAATGTGTCTGTGTTTGACACCAAGCCCAGTTCTGAAGACCCCTTCTTTAAGCATAAGTGTCGATTTTGTGCCAAGGTCTTTGGCAGTGACAGTGCTCTGCAGATCCACCTGCGTTCCCACACTGGAGAGAGGCCCTATAAATGCAACATATGTGGTAACCGATTTTCCACCAAGGGAAATTTGAAGGTCCATTTCCAAAGGCACAAAGAAAAATACCCACACATTCAAATGAACCCTTACCCTGTACCAGAGTACCTGGACAATGTTCCAACAAGCTCTGGCATTCCATATGGCATGTCCTTGCCCCCAGAAAAACCTGTTACCACATGGCTGGACAGTAAACCTGTCCTCCCCACTGTCCCCACCTCTGTTGGGCTTCAGCTGCCTGCAACACTCCCAAGTATGATTGGAGGTTATAACGAGTCCCCGAGTCTCACTCCACTTAACAGGTCACCTCAAAGACCCTCTCCACCCACAAGTGAGTGTGCATCTTTGTCCCCAAATATCACCACTGACTCTGGCATGACCACTACTTCACCCTCCCCAAAACCCAGCTTTGGAAGTGATGCACCTCCTCTCTTGAAACCTGAAGGCATTCTCCTGTCCCCAACTTGTTCTACAAGGCCTGGAGAAAACGCAATCACCACAACTACAGTAACTCAAGTGCTTCTTTCCTCCACTGTCACCACCACAACACCATCAGGTAGTGGCCAAGTCACTGAGCCTATCAGTAGCCCAAACTCTGTTTCTAATTCCATCTCTCATCCAGTCCTTCCAATGCTGTCTGACCAGTTTAAGGCCAAGTTTCCCTTTGGAGGCCTCCTAGACTCTATGCAAACCTCAGAGACATCAAAGCTGCAGCAGCTCGTTGAGAACATTGATAAGAAGATGACTGATCCGAACCAGTGTGTTATATGTCATCGTGTTCTAAGCTGCCAGAGCGCTCTGAAGATGCACTACCGTATCCACACTGGCGAGAGGCCATTCAAATGCAAGATATGTGGACGAGCTTTTACCACTAAGGGAAACCTAAAAACACACTTTGGTGTCCACAGGTCTAAACCCCCACTTCGAGTCCAGCACTCCTGCCCTATATGTCAGAAAAAGTTCACCAATGCTGTTGTGCTACAACAGCACATCCGTATGCACATGGGAGGGCAGATTCCCAACACCCCAGTCCCAGAAAGTCTACAAGAGATGGAAACCGATGTTTCCTTTGATGAGAAGAGCTTAGATGCAATGAGCAACTATGATGATGATCTGCTGGATGAAATGGAGCAGGCTATGGATGATGAGGTGGACTTTAAAGATGGAGAATTTGACCCATCTAAACCTTACTCACCTGGGAGCTCCCCACCAACTTCCATCATTTCCAGCATTGCTGCGATGGAAAACCAAATGAAGATGATTGACTCCACTGCCAACATAACCCGCTCATTTGGCCTGAAGCCTTCACAGAATGGCTGCAGCTTTGCAGGGGATACTGACTGTTTTACAGCCGATTCCTTGAATGCAGTGGGGGATGCTGAAAGTCAAAGCTTGGGGAGCCCCACTTTGTCAGAGTCTTCTGGCTCAATGCATCATTTGTCCCCAGTTCACAGCCATTCTGAGAGCCAGCGGTCCAAGTCCCCAGCTACACTCAGTAATAATAACAGCAGTGCCATGATGGCAGAAGAGGGCCAGGAGAATATTGCAGCTGGCTTGACAACAGTGAAGTCAGAAAAATCAGAGACCCCTTCTCCGCTTTCTGGAAATGAAGGCACTGGGGCCCTTGATCTGACTGCCACTCAACCTGGCAGACATTTCATCAAGGAGGAGAGCCACTTCAACATGTTGTTTCTAAACAGAGATCGGGGTGAGTAGAAGCAAATGTGGCTAAAATATAACATATAAAATCAGTTCAGTATTGGTACAAATCTCAGTCAGTATTATGAACATGTATGCAATAAATAACCAAAAATTACTGGTGTAAACCTGAATAGTGTTAAAAAAAGATAAAATGATTAATATGGCAGCTATGAGACTCTTTCATTAGCAGAACAGATGTAATTTATTATGACGGTATTACAAATATTAATCTTTGTTTTTTCTTAATGTTTTTCAGGCCTTGGTACACCTAATTTAGCAAGCACTGCATCAAACATGATCAAAATGGAAATGAATGGACATGGCAAGTCTTTGAGCGACAATTCACACTTGCCTGTGGGCATTCAGGTTCCAGCTGCAGCACCCCCAACCACAGCGAGTCCTAGCATCAATCCTATGTTGGCCCCCCCACCTCCACGTCGGACTCCTAAGCAACACAACTGCCACTCGTGTGGAAAGAACTTTTCTTCAGCTAGCGCTCTGCAAATCCATGAGCGGACACACACAGGAGAGAAACCATTTGCCTGCTCTATTTGTGGAAGGGCTTTTACCACAAAGGGCAACCTGAAGGTATATCATTTAATAAAAGATTAACATCATAGAGCCATTAGATCAAAAACATAAAATTCTTCATAGGTGTAACACATAGCTTTGGGTAAATATTCCTAGACAACGTAAGGCCTCTTTACTCTGCTTTGGTTATTTAAAAAACACATTTTCGGTTGCATTTGCACCTCATGTCTAAATTGTAATAAGAAAAAAAAAATTTTTTAAAGACTAAATTTTTGGTGACTACA